GGACTGTAACCTGGATATGTTTTCATGAGATTCACCCATGCATATTTGCCCACAAGGCGTACAGTAAATAGTGCGACGTTACCACTTTACATGATACAAGAACAAAATCTGCGTAAAGCATGAAGTCAAGACAAGACAATGTTGGATAGAGGTGGGGAAAGTCTCCACTTCCCAAGAATGGGCGAAAGTCTGACAGAGAGTGGATATTCTCCAAATACGAGTGGCTAGTCGGAGGGGGTTCAGGCTGATATATAAACAGTAATAGGAGATGTAAATATTTGTGCAGATGACTCTGGCAGACAGACAAAGCTGCTCTTTTTGACATATCACCCTCTGTTCTGGCTCAGTGCATGAGCTGGAGGAGGAAAATGAGCAAAATAGGGGTCATTTTGCACTACTTTGGCAAAAAAACACCTCAAGGCTATGTGTGCAATCGACAAAAGCAAACTAAAGGTGTGTCAGCCTAAATCAGTCGAATGTCTGAAAGTTCTAGGGTGGCCTCCTGCACAGCCAAGGGCCTTAAAAGTAGGGATGATGTTAGAGAGCTGATATAACAAAAGCACAGTGGATTTAACACCATAGTAAGAGCCTTAAGCCTCATCAGCTTGCTTGGCTCTATAAAATTACTCAAAAGTGTTTAACACTTTCTGTAAGCAACTGTAACCCAGCTGACACTAAACTCAACATAAAACAGTGTGCATAACCCATTTTGGTGCAGAAATTATACACTAAACTTCTTTTTGAAGCATTACAATAGAACTGCATTTTCTGCATTTTTAACATGCTATTATAAAAAATACCCACTTTTCTCCTCCATCAGGTAGCCGTGAAGCAGCATTTGTTTATGCAATCTCCTCCGCTGGCGTGGTTTATGCCATCACCAGAGCGTGCAGTCAAGGAGAGCTGAAGATCTGCGGTTGTGACACCCACAGGAGAGGCCGGGCTAGTGATGAAGAAGGAGACTTTGACTGGGGCGGCTGTAGCGACAACATCAATTACGGTATCAAGTTTGCCAAAGCTTTTGTGGATGCCAGAGAGAGGATGGTCAAAGATGCCAGAGCACTGATGAATCTGCACAACAACCGCTGTGGGAGAATGGTAAGTGTCAAGATTGTCACATTTGATTGATTTGATTGCAAAATAAACCCCAAGTAATCAGTTTATGATCCTGAAGGGGTTTATAAAACATGTTCTAACATTAGAAAAGCTAATTATAAAAACTTGAGCTTGTCTTTTAATCTGGGTCATTGAGTGGTTCATAGGTCATGGTTGAGTTCTGTTTTCTTTAGGCAGTAAAGCGTTTTATGAAGACTGAATGCAAGTGTCATGGAGTCAGTGGGTCATGTGCTCTCAGGACATGCTGGCTGGCTATGTCTGATTTCCGGCAAACGGGGGACTACTTAAGAAAGAAGTACAATACTGCTGTTGAGGTCACAATGAACCAGGATGGTTCAGGCTTCATGGTTGCTGACCGAGATTACAAGAAAACGACCAAAAATGATCTAGTATACACTGAGAACTCTCCAGACTACTGTCTAATGGACCGATCGGCAGGTAAGCAACAAAGAGCGTGCTAAATCTTTTTATACCATGCTTCAATAATAGTTGGGATATCTAAGAGTAATTGGGCAAAATTCTGTCAAAGAAAATATCATATTTCACCCCAAAGTCCCAAGATAGAAATAAGAAATTTTTGCATTTTAAAGAATATAAAACTAACGTAAGGATTTAGATTTTGCATTGTAACATTTCATGAAAATTAAACACATTTCTCAAATAATTTATTACTGCAATGCAAAAAAGGATGCATTCAATTCTAAAGTATTTTTGGGAAAAAAATGGTCTTTAAGTATATATTTTGTAATACAGTAATAATTTAAATTTATTGCAAATTATAGTACTGAAAACCACCAGAATATTGAAATGACAAATACAAAATTAAGTTGATTTATTTATTAAAAATAAATAAAATGTATATTTTTATTTTATTATAATTTATTTGTTTCATTTTTGGTTTTGAGATGAAATACTGTATGACCCAGACTCGAAAATATCCAGTTGTCCCATGGAAAAACTATGGTTACCATGTAACATTTTTCGAAAGAAAAAGGTCTTGATCTCAATAAGTGAATGGCCTATTGACTCACAATGGAATAATTTTACTAAATGGAAAATAATGTCCCTGATATATTCTATTTCTGCATCTATATTCCAGGTTCTCTGGGAACAGCAGGACGAGTGTGTAACAAGTCTTCCAGAGGCATGGATGGTTGCGAGGTCATGTGCTGTGGCCGCGGGTACGACACCACGCGTGTAAAACGTGTGAGCAAATGCGAGTGCAGGTTCAAATGGTGCTGCGCTGTGGAGTGCAGGGACTGTGAGGAAACTGTGGACGTTCACACCTGTAAACCACATAAGAAACCCGACTGGCTCGATTTGACCTGACTACCATGACCATGACCAATCAGCAGCTACTGGTGCTTTTCTGTTCTCAGGTTTTTGAAGTGGGCCACCGCATTGTGGGATGTGTAGTTTATGACTATAACACTATGATCTCCACTTGCAGAACCCTGAACTTTATCCGCCTTCAATGATGCAAGCGCAAAGATCACAGGCCAGTCTGGAGCACTGGTAGACGGTTGGTGTCATGGGAAATCATCCAATGGGCATTGTCTGGTGTTTAATAGAATGAACTGTGATCAGGACACAATCCTTTCACTATTTTCAAACTGTAAAACACATTTTACTGATAATATGTGTGCCTAAACATGGAATTATGTTTTTGGACAGCTTTGATAAATATGTTGGAGTTTTAGGGAAAAAACTATATACAGCATCAGTTCAAAATTCTCAAAGAACATAGCAATAAATTGCTTTTCACGCCAAGAACAATGCCACGTCATGGTCCAAAATAATGCTTTGAAGGGTGCTGTAAAAATGTTAAACAGTGATAACTGTGTTTCCCTTCATTTACTTCATGGAGCATATTTTTGATACATGACTTGTGCATGAAAGAATTAGATCAATGTTCAATTTATTGTGACATCCCATTGTCACTGTATATCAGAGAAATATATCTTTCATGTTATCTTTGTAATGCCTAAGCACTTAAACATCCCTTTGAATATGAGCACTTTTTTTTGGTTTGGTTTGGTTGCGATAAATTGTCTACGATCAAATCAATATTTTCCCTGATGGATTTCTTATTGAAATGTGATGTTTATCTAATAAAGTAGCAACTAAACAAGATATCTTCAAGATAAATTTAAAGATATACCACCAGCTACTCAAAAAAACATCTCTGAAGCTGAATGGCCTCTTTGAATGTTTTACTGCTTGCTTCATATATATATGTCCTCATGTAAAACCCACACTAAATGTCAAATCATTGCTAAAATAAGACAGCAGCTTACTGAGATTGAGCAGCAAAAATAGTCAGGTAAGCATGACTGGCACTTTTCGCCATTCATTTTGCTGCGCTGAATGAAGCACCTTAGTTTGACAACATGGTTGTTTCTAAATTTGCTGTTAAGATGTATGAGTCAATGAAGTGCTCGGGTTGTCACGATGGTCGGTACTGCGTGTCCAAAATGGTGGCACCATTAATCAAAAGCAACTTGAAACTTTGTAAGGTAAAGACCGTGGAAGTTCATTTTGTCGTTGTGCAAGCTGCAATTGACGAAAGAGGCCAAAAAGGAAAGTCGTTGCTATACAAACAGCATCCAAACAGTCAGTGTTTTTTAATATTTTAAATATTATAATACTTAATTATTTCGTGAGCTTCAATGAACTTTCAAATATATTTTTCAAAATCGTTAGAAGACAGTTTGTGTATTATGGATTTGAATTGAAAACATCACTCATATAATCACAATTCAGAATCATTCTCACTGTTTGATTTCAACCATGTATTATGCAGCAGTTCCTAAAAAAATAAAAAAACTAACTTGTTTAGATTTATTAATTCGCCAAAGCCAATGTTTACCCATTTTTGGCACTCGGCGAGTGTTAATTTTGGCCCCTGCACACAAGTGATTCTGATCTCAAGCCATTCTAACTGGTGTCATTTTTTAAGACAGAGCTGCTCGTAGCTGTTTGACCGGATTTGTTTTCGCCTCTGTAATTCTTATATCAAGATTGAAGTCTCAAAGGACGCCAATAGCTCTCTATTGTTGCTTCATTTTCAGCATCCCATCCAAAGATACTTTTTTCCAATTGTGGAATGTCAGAAATTTCCCACAGTTGGTCTGATTATGTTTTCCGTTGTTCAACAGTTCCACCTCACACCTCGTCTTTGCCAGAAAAACTTCTGTGTTGAGAAAGACTTGTCGAAAACATGTCAGAGTATGTTTACTTTTGAACATTGTAAAATTACCCCCTTGGCAGCGCGTAACCACTATGTGGTTAGTGTTGAAATTTATGTATGTTCCTAAACAGAATCGGCTAACATTTTAATTAGTGCACTAATCCGTACAAGGACGTATTGATAGAGTCAAGGCGCTGAAAGCTAAAATAGCAGTCAACTTTTGTTCTTCGGTGAGGACTTTGTGTATATTCGTCGAGCCACATGATCATGTCCTCAGAGCCCAATACGTGTGTGGTCCTTACAACTGCATTCATTTTCAGTCAATTGTCCAAGATAACAATCTTGTTATGCTGAAAACTAACCAGCTGTTTCAAACTATAGTTATATGTGAGATAGATGAAAAAATTTGAAAAGTTGGAGTTTCGGAAGGCGGACCTTCATCAAAGCCGGAACTAATCGAGCCGTTTGTGCCAGGCTGGGGAGAAAGGTATTTTAATAATGCAAATAATGTGAAAAATAATGCGTTTTTCGAACCACCAAGCATGAGAGCATGTTCTAGTACACCCCCAAAACAAAATCAAGACTTTGTAAAAGAGCATAATAGGACCCCTTTAAAATGTTAATATTAAGGTATGTTTCGCTTAAAAAGTCAATGAAGCGATATAGGCAGCGACATGCAATGATTAGGTTAGGGAATGAGTTTTTTTCAAACCTACAAGCTCAAATGTTAAACTTTAGCACATACTGTAACTGTTTGTGTTAAGGGGACACCCCAGATGAAAAAAAAAAACTAATTTATATCACTGTACTTCCCCTGTTGATTGATTACATTGAGAATTGCCAACATTTTTTTGCATTACAAGTTTTTTGTAATGTTTTGTAATGTCATTACAAGCAAGTTTTCTGAAATCTTATGTTTAAATATTCAAATGAGGCATTATCTAATTAAACATTGGATAAAGCCAGATTCAAAATTCTTGTTAGATTTTGTTGACATATTAGAGTCAAAGGTTTTTACAGAGGGAATTTTGGATATCTCTTTTTATCACTCCATAGATAATACTGTCAACAGCCAGAAAAAAAAAATTCTCAAAATATTCACAAAGGAATAAAATGTAAAAAAAAAATTCACTAATTATATATGAACAAATCCCTCTGTAAAAACCTTCAGAATTTAGATAGGAATGAAACTGTAAAATTTGGTCTATGTAAGTGCTGCTGAAGTGGAGCTTTTTGACTCGGTGCAGGAGAAAAATCTCATTTTGAGAAAGATATGGACTGTAATTGAAATCTGCAGACACAAACAGATAAAGTGCTATAAAAGAAACACTTAAAAGTGTTTTCTTTCCACTAGTCTGAAAAAATACTTTATGAAAAGCCAAAAAGCCAAATCTGGGCAGATGAGAAAATGTGGGAATGTAGCAAGGCTCTCTTTAATTTTCTTAAAGATACAGGGTTAGAGCACAGCATATAGAAAATGAGAATGTTTTTTTTATTTATTTATTTTTTTAATGATTATAACCATGCTAAGTACATGAAGTTGCACACCCTGGTACAGTAGGTGGCGGTATGCACCTGAACAACACCTTGGGAACTGTATAGAAATGCCCTGGCAACCACCAAAAACACCCTAGCAACTGAAAACTGCTTTGGTGCACCCACCTAACCCAACACACTGAAAACTTTTCAGAACACCTTGGGAACTGTATAGAAATGCCCTGGCAACCACCAAAAACACCCTAGCAACTGAAAACTGCTTTGGTGCACCCACCTAACCCAACACACTGAAAACTTTTCAGAACACCTTGGGAACTGTATAGAAATGCCCTGGCAACCACCAAAAACACCCTAGCAACTAAAAACCGAACCCAACACACTGAAAACTGCACCTTAGCAACCATGTAACAGCTCCCTGGCTACCATTCACAAGATCTTAGCATAATGGTGATCACAGGTTTTGCACAAGCAAATGCTATTTTAGTCTCTTATCCTCACAATTCTCTGATATAAAGCAGATATTGGTTACTACTACACCATTTAAAAATACATTTGCGTCCTTACGGACACTCTGCTAATACAGAAATGCTGCATTGGGAACAGTGTACTTCCCACTGCAGACTTTAGTCCACAGATCCAGAGCAAGTGTTTGGTCTAGAGGGCAGATTTATAGAGGAGATAAGCGTTATATATATGTGACCTTTGGGGACGAGTGTGGCTTGGCTCGCAGAAGCGGCCGGGTGGGAGCGTTAGCGCGCTTCCTGTCAGATGGAGCTTACCAGGCCAGCGGCGTTGGATTAACACATAAAAACTCTTATCTTGTGAGTCAGCTGGCAAGAATGTAGCTCTTCCTAAATTTCCAAAACAGAGGCACAGCAGCACTACTGTGAAGAGCACCAGAGCTCTTTATTTTTAAGACATATGAAGACTGAGATCTGTGAAGAGATGTGAGAGAAACACCTAAGCAACTGCAATTACTCCAAATAGCAATACTCTAGCAACCACCAAGAACACCTTAGCAACCACATGGCAACACACTAAAACTCAGTCAGAACACCTTCTAGTATTCTAGTCCCTAGACTAGAATGAGAAAACATAAATATTGTTGGCGAATTCGTACAATTTGAATTGTACAAAAAATATACAATATTTTGTGTGAAAAAGCATAAAGATGTGACCCTAACCCCATCCCCAAACCTAGCAGTCAGTGGAGCGTCAGCTGATCATATAAAAATATACGAATGAGAATGTACAAATTCATACGAATTCACCAACAATTCCCCAAAACATAAAATAGTTCCGAAATGCCATGCAAGTGTGTTGATATCAGGGGTTGCAAAGGGGTGGAAATTTTTTTGGAAAATTTCAAAACATTTTGGAAAGTTTATGGAAATTTACCAGAAAATGTCCTCCCCTTTGCAAACCTAGTTGATATGGCTAGTACTACACCTCTCCTCAACAAACCACATGATTTGAGATATCACTCAAGTCCATTACCAAATAGTGTAAGACAAGTTACATGTTTTACCCCCGGTTTCACAGACAAGACTTAAGCTAGTCCCAGACTAAAATGCATGTTTGAGCTGTCTCAACTGAAAATATCTTGCTCTGACATTTCTTAAAATATGTCAGTGTCATTGTTCTGTGTCAAGATGCACAACTGTAATGTTTTCTTCTAAGGCATTTTTGTAAAAGTTGCTTAAATATCTTCATTTAACTAAGGCCTAGTCCTGGCTTAAGCCAAGCCCCGTTTGTGAAACCGGGCCTTTGTTTACTATTTAGGGTTAAGTGTTTGGTTAGTTATGGTACATTTACATGACAACAGTTTACTGAAAATGGAAATGTTTTTGATTAGTTTTTTTTTTTTTTTTTAAGTTTCACGTACAGATAACGTTGTCAAAATGATCCCCGTTCACACAGATCCACACAAAAAAAAGACTAAAAACGCAGTATTCTGCATGACAGGCCAATAGTTAGTGATGTCACTTTGTAAAGAAACACTACACGCCTGCACACATTCACATTCTTTGTGTACTCAAGCATGCCTATAGACTGAACGTGTAATGCGTACGTGCATGTTGTCACTGTTTTCACAAATTCACATTTTTGTAGTTTACACAGAAACGATAACGGTACCGTTTTCAAAACCGTACACTTTGAAATTCGTTTTCAAAAGTTTGTGTTTTCAGGTCCCCAAATGCAGTTGTGTAAATGAACGGCCAAAACTCATACAAAGTTTAGTTGAAAGCGGTGTAACGACCCCTTAGTAAGATCTAAGGCAATACAAAATAGGCATGATACACTGTAATACAGACACAGCTTTAATTTAATACAGCAAAGACTTGCATAGGATCTCATGGGACAGTATTTGCTGCAAACACTATTTGCTTGGTTGTCACTAGATTTTGTTACACTCGGTAGTTTAAGCCTGCAGTAAACTGCCAACCTGAACAAATCCAGACCCTTGGAGAGCGCCAGTTA